AAAATGGTACAAAACTGTTTTGTTCCCCTTGATCCAATCTATGTCCCCACTGTGTTTCAGTAACATTTTCTGAGACACCCTGTATATATATATATATTTTTTTGGTAATTATTCAGTTTAGCTACCCCTCAAAAATCAATAAAAATAGGCTTATTCGATGCGTTTTTGCATGAAATGAAAGAATCTGGCAAAAAAAGTGTCGCTCTGCCCTGTTAGCCGAGATATGAAGCGTTAAAGTTCGAGATTGTAGAGGTTAGGAAATCTGTCACTGCGCGAAATACTGCGATGGAAGCATGCATTGCGGTTACCTTTTTCATATTCTGTGACCTCATGCGCATGCGTTTAGCTACTCTTTGGTAGCTAAACGCAAGCGCATGAGGTCACAGAACACGAAATTTAAAATCACTGTAGAACAAATACGACGCAACGTTTGACAAACGCGAAATCGTACAGCAACAATGCTAGGCCTGCTCGAATTCGGACATTTGACATTCGACAGAGAGAAATTGATTGATTTTTTAATTCAGCACGGTGTGTTAGTAGCAAAAATCAAGTGTAGCGAATGTGGTGATGATATTTACACTAATAAAGAAACATTAATGTATCGATGTAGAAAACGGTACTATGTAAAGAATAAACATAATAAACAAATCACAAAACGTTGCGAATTTTTCAAAAGCGGCAGAACTAATACTTGGTTCCGTAAAAGTCATCTTGACGTGGGAGCAATATGTAGAATTGTTGCGTGTTTTTTAATGTTGCAACACCTACGTCAAGATCGTACGAAAATTGAAGCTGGCATTGCGTCGTCGGCTACAATTGTTGATTGGTTCAACTTCTACCGAGAGGTAATTATGTTACTTATATTTTCAGAATTATTGTAAATGTAAAAAATATATAGTATGTACAAAACTAATGTTATTTTTTATTACAGGTCTGTGTGTTCTGGACTGACATACATAGTGAAAAGATTGGTGGTCTAGGACACATAGTTCAAATTGATGAAGCAAAAATTGGAAAACGAAAATATAATTGTGATCGACTTATAAAAGGTCAATGGATCTTCGGGGGATACGAGCAAGGGTCGAAAAAGATGTTTATTGTACCAGTTGAAGATCGAACGGAAACGACACTCTTGCCAGTAATTAAAGAATGGATATTGCCAGGAACAACTATTGTATCGGATTGTTGGAAGTCCTATGATTGTTTAAACAATGAGGGCTTCCAACATCTGACAGTAAACCATTCTTACAACTTTGTCGATCCTGAAACTGGTAAGAAATGTTTAAAATTATTAATTTATTAACGTATTACAATAAACAACTAGGTTGTACAAAATGTCATAATTTATATATTTTACTCATTGTTTTATTATAGATAATATTCATATTTTGCAATAATTTATGTTGTAACAGTTTTTAAATTTATAGGTGCACACACTCAACACATAGAGCACGTTTGGAGAGAAGTTCGGGGAAATATTCCTAGATATGGAAGGAGAGAATATCATTTTGAAGGATATTTGGCCGAATTTCTCTTTAAACGCGCCTATGATTATGCTGAGCGGATCGAGATCTTCTTCGACATCATTGCGAAACTGTATCCTCCGATGTCAGCGTTTAATGACCAGCCAGTAGTGAACAAAAATGAGGAACCAAGTACCAGCACAAAAGATTAAATATAGATATTTATGTATATTTTTTACACAGTACCGCTTTCGACATCGATACCTTAATGTTTCTCTATTTATGTTAATATCATTACCACATTTGCTACACTTGATTGTATTTGTTAACACAACTTGCTGAATTAAAATATTATTTTCGATTTCAATGAAATTTGGTTCGTTCGACGCGCTTTTGTGTAAAATGAACGAATTTGGCAAAAAATGCGGCGGTCGGCCTCGTGAACCGAGATATTAAGCGTTAAAGTTCGAGATTTTAGAGATTAAGATATCTGTCATTCCGACTCGCTGCAGCGCTATATATACGTAAGGTTTATTCTTTTTCAGAAGAATTCTGAAATAGTGCAATAAGTTGGAGTGAGACAAACTACAGCTGTCTCATTCTAACTATTGTATGTACTCCAGTTCAGAACTTAAAGACTTATATATATAAACATTATATTTACATATTCAAATATATTGCATTATATTTTAACATTATATTTACATATTCATATATATTACATGTTATTTTTATAAATATATTTATACATTTTTCATAAATATAAATAAATATTCATCTTATAAAATAAGTC